AAAAAAAAAAAAAAAAATATGTAAGGGACTAAAGGACTTCCACATAAAACTTTTTGGAATGAACAGGTTCATCGCTAAAAGACAAAATTACAAATCAGTTGTCCAAACGTAAGGTTAAGATATCAGGAAAGTCCTCATGACTCAACAACCTTCAAACCAGCTCACGAGGGCTGGGGATTCCACCTTAGTTTGGGAGCAAAATCACCTGTGTATTAAATGGTGCACGTTGGCTTGGAGTGCCCTTTGCATATCTTCTTCCTCTCAAACCAGCTGCTGCAGGGATGCAGCGTCTAGGACACCTTCCTATCAGCCGATGTGAGTGAACAGGGTGAGATTTAAATGCAAAGCAAGAGATTATTTCTACATAACAGAGTTAGAAGAGGCTTCATGTAGAGGGGACATTTAGTGGAAGCTTAAAGTCATCATTTATGTAAGAACTAGATGCCCAAACTTAGATACAATTTGCACTCTCTGTTTTGATAGAGCAAAGCTGAAAAGCTATACAAGGATAAAACTGAAACCTTAGCTTGATTCACATCATCTTTCAGGCGAAGACATTAATAGAAATAAGCAGAGATAACAAGATAATAACTAATAGTACAATTATTATATTAATGCTAGTGGTGAGTAAAAGTAGAATTAGTTTTACATACTTCAAAATATTAATTTATTAGATATTGAGATACTGATAAGCTGTCCTGACACTCCTTTATTTATTACATTGACAATATTTTTTCTTCTTCTCTAGGGTGATTCTGGGGGACCTCTGGTTATACCACATGATAGAAACATCTGGTATCTTATTGGAATAGTCAGCTGGGGAATAGACTGTGGTAAAGAAAACAAGCCTGGAATTTACACAAAAGTGACTCGTTATCGAGACTGGATCAAATCTAAAACTAACATCTAATGCAACAAACATCTACCTCTAAAATGTAAATGTCATGTGTGGTCTCTATCAAATTGTGTCTAGTATGTGTTGCTGTGTATACTGTAATTGAGTTCAAGATGCAAATAAGCATGATCTGACAACGTCCCCCTTAAACATGAGGAAAGGTAGCCTTTCTTTCACATACCCTGAAGTGCTTTGCTGACCATGAACATACAAGAAATTGTCGATTCCTCAAAGATCCACCATTGCTGCTAAGTGTCTCTGGTGACCTCCTAGCTTACCTTTCTGTCCCTACTACACACTTCTCAGTTTAGCATAATCCAGCAGTTTAAGCAGATAAGTACCAACTGCCTAAGCATTCTGTATTTTCTCCCTGACAGAACATACTGGCCTTCCCTGACTCCAGTTTTTGCCTTCCTTATCAAAAATTCTCGTTAAGAATCTGTAGGCCCAGGTACTAGACAAATCAAGGTAATTAATTTTGTCCAATACTAACAAAAATGATGGAGGTCTCAGTAGCCATGAAACTAGAACTTAAGAGATGGCACTACTATGAGTTCTTTTCCCTTTGCCCTCAGATGCATATTTTTTAATGTTATTTTTATTATTGATTTTAGAGAGAGAGGAAAGGAGAGGGAGAGAGAGAAACATCGATATGAGAAACATCGATCGGCCTCCTCCTGCACACCCCCTACTGGGCATCAAGCCCAAAACCTGGGCATGTGCCCTGACCGGGAATCAAACTGGAGACTTTCCGGTGCATGAGCTGATGCTCAACCACTGAGCCACACCGGTCAGAGCTCAGATGTATATTTAACCCCTCTTTGAAACTCAAAAGAAACTGTGATTTACATTTACACCCAACACTGCAGATTTTAACCTTTTCAGCAACCACACTAATCTTTACCTTGGAACAATAACTAAATACTTGGATCAGACAGCAGGAAAACTCAAAATATTGCCTAGCCCTGGAGTTTGTTCTAAACTATGTAAAAATGCTTTTCAGTATTCAGAAAATAATAATAGAGTTTCTTGGCCTTTTTGCTGGGTGGGAATGAGAAGAGGCAAAGACTGGATGAGAAGGAGCTTCTTTCTTCTCTAAAAATGAGAGAAGTTTCAGTCTCAGTGTGAATTTACTTTTCAGTTCTGTTCCATTATTTCCTAATGCAGTTTATTTTCATATATATTAATATTTCTTTATTGATTTCAGAGAGAGGAAGAGAGAGGGAGAGAGAGAGACAGAAACATCAGTGATGAGAGAGTCATTGATCGGCAGCCTCCTGCACGCCTCCTGCTGGGATTCGAACCCGCAACCCGGGAAGGTGCCCTGACCGGGAATCAAACCTCAATCTCCTGGATTCTAGGTCAATGCTCAACCGCTGAACCACACCTGCCTGGGGCAGTTTATTTTCTAAATAGTTTTATTTTCAATCAACTTCAGAACATTTAAGGAACCCACAGAATGAGAAGTCAATATAAATTAGATATTCATAAATAACTTACACAAGGAGCCCATATTAAATTAGACATTCATGGATAATTTGATACAAGATTTCAGGAAAGACCTTACTGTATAATATTTCAAGTTTTCTGTTAAAAAGTTAGTCATTCTTTGAAGAATGGTATTTATAGGGAATATTTAAATAATCAAAAAAATATCTTTGAAATGGTTTAATTATTATGCTAAGTCATTTTCATATATATTTAAATGCATTTTTGTGTCACTGTATATGACAACATGACATTACTAATGTTTAACAAAACTCAAACATTTTCTGTGCATCTAAATCATTATTTACTTCCCCCTCCTTTTATAATTAATTTAGTTAATGAAATAACTGCCAATGTTAAGATTTTTTTTTTTTTAGTTTTATATCAAGGGAGAATCTCTCTTGCCCCACATAATATTATGTTGTAAACATTAAAATATATTTATAATAATAAAATCAAACTCATTTTCTTTGAGTTGTCACTATACTGCAGGCCTTCTCATCCTTCATACTGTTGTCGTTTTGTCAGAGATCAATTTCTGGGGGGCAAGGCATGTGGAGAGCCAGCAGCTATCCTCTGCTTTGTAGAAGGTATAGTAGCATTCCCTCTCTCTACACACTGGGTGCCAGCAGTAATCCCACCTTGTTGCAACAAACAATAATGAACCCAGACATTGCAAAATGTGACCTGAAGGGCAAAATCACCCTCAGTCAAAGGAAGGATCCAGCAGTACCTTAAAAAGATCATACACCACGGCCAAGTGGGATTTATTCCGGGGATGCAAGGCTGGTACAACATCCACAAATCAATAAATGTGATACATCACATAAACAAAATGAAGGAGAAAAATCATGATCATATCAATAGATTCAGAAAAAGCATTCGACAAAATCCAGCACCAATTTCTGATAAAAACTCTCAGCAAAGTGGGAATAGAGGGATCATAGCTCAACATAATAAAAGCCATATATGACACACCTACAGCCAACATCATCCTCAATGGGAAAAACTAAAACCATTTCCCCTAAGAACAGGAACAAGACAGGGGTGCCCACTTTCACCACTCTTATTCAACATAGTNTTCCCCTAAGAACAGGAACAAGACAGGGGTGCCCACTTTCACCACTCTTATTCAACATAGTTCTGGAAGTCCTCACCACAGCCATCAGACAGGAAGAAAACATAAAAGGCATCCAAATTGGAAAGGAGAAAGTAAAACTGTCATTACTTACAGATGACATGATATTATACATAGAAAACCCTAAAGACTCCATCAAAGTACTACTAGATTTGATAAACGAATTTGGCAAGGTAGCTGGATACAAAATCAATATCCAGATATCAACGGCATTCTTATACACCAACAATGAACTTTCAGAGAGAGAAACTAAAAACACAATACCATTTACCACTGCAACTAAAAAAATAAGATATCTAGGTGTAAACTTAACCAAGGACATAAAAGACCTGTACTCAGAAAACTATGGGACACTGAAAAAATAAATAGAGGAAGATTTAAAGAAGTGGAAGAACATACCATGCTCATGGATTGGAAGAATTAATATCATTAAAACTTCCATACTACCCAAAGCAATTTATAAATTCAATGCAATTCCTATTAAAATACCAACAGCATGTTTCACAAACCTAGAACAAACATTTCAAACATTTATATGGAACCAAAAGAGACCCCGAATAGCTGCAGCCATTTTGAAAAAAAAGAACAGAGTGGGAGAGATCACATTAGCGGACATCAAACTGTAATACAAAGCCACTGTAATCAAAACAGTCTGGTATTGGTACAACAACAGGCATATAGATCAATGGAACAGAACAGAGACCCCAGACATAAACCAACGCCATTATGGTCACTCAATATTTGACAAAGGAGGCAAGAGCATACAATGGAGTAAAGAGTCTCTTCAATAAGTGGGAAAATTGGACAGATACATGCAAAAAAAATGAAACTAGATAATCAACTTTCACCATACACAAAAATAAACTCAAAATGGATAAAAGACTTAAATGTAAGTCAAGAAACCATAAAAATCCTGGAAGAAAACACAGGCGATAAAGTCACAGACATCCCATGTAGTGGAATTTTCACTGATACATCTCCTAGGGCAAGAGAAACAAACAAACAAACAAAAAAACATATGGGACTACATCAAACTAAAAAGCTTGCACAGCAAAAGACAACGGCCTCAAAATACAAAGGAACCCCACGGTCTGGGAAAACATATTTGCCAAGGACGTATCTGATAAGGGGCTAATTTCCAAAGTGTACAAAGAACTCATACTACTCAGCAAGAGGAAGACAAACAACCCAATTAAGAAATGGGCAAAGGACCTGAATAGACACTTCTCCAAAGAGGACAT